TGTATATTTTGAAAATAGTTTTGGAATTTAGAAATTTGGAATGATTTGATATTTTATTATAATTGAATAGATATTTGTGAGAGAAAAAATAATTGAGAAAGAGAAATGAGAGAAAAAAATGATTGATTGATATATAATAAAAAGAGAAATAATTTAATTTTTTTTTTAAAATTGTAACTAAACATAGTTTTTAAAAATTTCTTCCAAAAATATGTTTTAAAACAAAAATCAAACACTAATCCCCTCTCCAATTTTACAAACAAACACAACATTAAATAACACCTTTATCATCCTAATTTCCTCTTCAATTCTACAAACAAACATAATATTAAGGAACACCTTTACCATCTTAATTCCTTCCCATCTATTTAACTCAAAATAAATTGGCCCTTATGGTGTTCCTAAATTAATAATTTTTCATTTCGTACGCTAGGTAATTAATTAAGGGTAAAATCACATGATCCTTCAAGTGTAATAATTTTTCGTACGCAAGAGGAATGATTGTAATTTGAAATATGTTCAGATGATGCCAAGAGAGAGGAAGAGAGAGCCGTTTTCGGGGCTCTGACTCGTAGGATGATGGGACCCCGGTGTACCCGCACGCGTGCCACGTGGATCCCACTCGTTGACTTTTCCATCTTCTTTTTACTTTATTTTACTTTCAGAAAAAAGTCAATCAGCAGCGTAGCACCAACTCATAGAGTCCTCCCCCTCCGCCACCTGCGGCCTTCGTCCTCCACTCGTTAAGGCCCGTTTGTTTTCAGGTAAAATAGAAAATATTTATAGTAAAAAATTATTAGTAAGAAAATTAATAGTAAAATAATTAAATAAAATTATGTTTATTTTAATGATAATTGTTAGTGTATGAATTGTTAAATTACTTTCATATAAAATAATAAAACAAATAAAAATACAAAAAATTAAGCATTAATTTTCAAAGAAAATGTCTAACATGTAAAAAATAAAAAAATAAAAAAATTTCTAATTCCCTCACTATTTTTCTAATACCACCTCCACCTGCTCCATTTCAATCCTCTCCTCCATCCTCTATCTTAATCCCCTTCTCCATCCTAATTGCTTTCCCAACTCTGCAAACAAATATAACACTAAATAAGCCCTACCGCCGTCGTAATCTCATCTCACCCTCTACACCCCAAAACAAACGGGGCCTAAGGGTTATTTTAGAAAGATAATTAATAATTATCTTTTAATTTTTAACTCATTTTAAATCATATTTTATTTTTTATATTTTTTTTTTAAAAAAAATAATTTAAAAAGTCAAATTTCAACCATCTTCTTAAAACAATCCTAAATCCACCCCTTTTTTATTTCTCAAACATATTAAGGGTCCGTTTGGGAAGGGCTTTTTCGGACTTTTTTGGCTATTTTAGCCACAAAAGACAAAATAGGCTATTTTAGTCACAAAAAATAAAACATCACATCTAACCCATAATCATTACACTCTTCTCTCACAAAAAAAATCAAAAAAACCCAAAATCCAAAAAGCTCTTCCCAAACCAAGCTTTTTAACCAGGCTAAAATAGCCAAAAAGTTAAAAAGTCAACACACTTCCCAAACGGAGGCTAAAAATCTCAACAACAAAAAATAAAAATAAAAATAAAAAATTATCTCCCCCATATTTATTCTTCTTAATCATTCATACATTTAAATCAACTCATGATTTATACAAAAATAAAAAATAAAAATTATTTAATTTTTTAGGTATGGTGCCCCGGATGAATTTCTGTGCATAGAGAGTTTAGGATTGGTAATAAATTTTCATATATCTATGATGCTTGATCTGATTTTAGGTTGTGATTGGATGTGTTCCTAATATGGCTTAATTTTTTGTTGTTTAGCAGATCATGTTCTTGAAAACCAATCATAACTGAAGGCTATGAGCTCTTAAAATCAAATGCTGATTAACAACATTACATGACTTGCCGTAATCATTAGTTTTTGACAAAATTTTTGAGAAATAATTCTAAAACATAGAGAAACTTTCTTGGAAAGTTGGTAAGATTCACCAACCCAAGGCTCAAAAATGAAACATTAGATTTAAAATAAATAAAAATAAAAATAAAAGCTTGATCAAATGTTAAATAATAAACAAATAGAATTGCGGTCCTTCCAATGGGGATGTTATCAAGCACAAGTTGCATGTGATTCAATGACAAATTTGACACTTCCATGTAGTGTTTGATGCATTAAAATGGAATGAAATGATTATTTTATTAAAATATTTATTTTTATATTTAATTAAATAAAATAATAAATATATTATAATGAAATGATCATTTCATTAAAAAAAATTATTTTGTTTTATTTCATTTTATTCCAATAAACTAAACTGGGTAGAATTATGTTTTGGTGCAATTTATTGATTGAATGTCATATTCCTCTTTCAGGATATCCCACTTTGTCATTCAGACAAATTGCTTTTGTGAAATGAATCAGCTGCCAAATTGTCTTCGTCTGTAATTTGGTGCAGCAAATAGTCTTCAAAATCCTATTTGATATATATATTTTTTATGTAAAGTACGGAATTTTTAAAACTTCATCACCTTTTTTTCTCAAAATTATCCATATTGTTTACTACTTCAGTAAATAACTGGTATATATTTTCAAATTATAAACTCATCACGTTTGCCCTCACTAGTATATATATACACGACCTGAATAATACCAGTCTAGGCTAATATTTTTCATTTTTTAATAAAAAATGTTATTTGTCACCGCTTTTTTTTTTTTTTTTGTCACTGTTTTATATCTTTTATTTGGAGATAATTATTAAAAAATTATCAAACTATATAATTATTAAAAAAATTAATAAAAACAAATGTCTTGTCTTTTAATCTAATAATACAAAACAATATAAAAAATAAGTGATATATAGTGAGAACTTGATTGTTTTAGTAACTTTTTTATTTTTTAACTATTTTATTGAAAAAAGTTGTGTTTGGAATAGTTTAATTTTTTTGTAATTAAATAAATAGTTATAAGAGAAAAAATGACTAATTGATATTTTATTTTATTAATTATTTTAATTTTTATTAAATGTTTTGGCCCAACCCTAACTTCCCCAACAACACCATAATCTTCTTTAATAAATCGTGCCGTGTACTTGGGTTGACAGCCTTGCCACAATATGAACTGAAAATACCTACGCATTGAAAATATCCAATTTTTTCTTTGTTCTTCTTCTTTCGAGTTTGACGAAAGAGTTGATTTCATTTTGAAACGAATAATGAACTAAATAGAAAAATAGCCTACTATTATTTTATACCTACTTGAAAACCAACAGCAACACTACATAAATAAATAATTAAATTATAAAAACCCCACGCAAAATGGTGTCATATATTATAAAATTTTGATTTTAAATAAAGAAATAAGTTTTATTTCTGATTCATATAAATATTGAATCACATTATCTCTCACATTTTTTATATGTTTTTTCAAAAAAAAAACCAAAAAAATTAAAAAATCAATTTTTAATCATCTTTTCAAAATACCCCTATAGCTATTTTAGCCCTTTAGCCGTATGCCAAATGAAGGCAGAATAGACCATGCAGTTTTCTTCATGTGGGCTCACCTTGGTGTCATCTTAGACAATTTAAGGCCTTATTTGTCATAATTTAAAAAAATCAAAAAGTTAAAAAGTCACTTTTTTTTTTTTTTTGTTCGATCGGCAAAATAAAGTTTTATTGATGAAAAAGAAAAATACATGCAAAAATACATCAACAAAGCAGGGAAGTGCACTAAGTATCATAGCTAACCTCTACAATCCCAAATAGGTTACATCATTTTATTTAAGTCACATCATCTTATTTAAGTCACATCACCTCTCTATCACATTACTTCAAACCCAACCCATATTTCATAAAAAGTTAAAAAGTGCATTTATTTAGATCGTCTCAAATTATTCTTCTTAGTGGTGTTTTGAGAAGTTGGCAAAAATCTAACTTTTTAACTTTTTTGGTAGCTTTTTTGATAAAAAAAATTAGATTATTTTGGATAAAAAATTGACTTTTTTAACTAAAAAAATCAAAAAATTGACTTTTTACCCATCTTCCCAAAGTGCCCATACAATCTGTCTATAAAAAAATCAAGTTTATAATGTGACAAGTTTATAATGTGACAACTTTAAATTCTATCTTTTCTAAACAGTATTTTTTTTTCAACAAACTTACTTTAAAATTGACTGGAAATGAGTTGTTCCTATCATTTAATTAAACTAGTAGCCTTGGTTGGAGAGTAACTATTTTAGTCATAAAGTTAAAAAGTCATTACAAGTTATCACATCACTCTCTCTACTTTTTTACACATCCATAAAGTTAAAAAGTCATTACAAGTTATCACATCACTCTCTCTACTTTTTTACACATCTTTTCATAAAAAGTTAAAAAATTACTAACACAACATATTCCCAAACGAAACCAATCTCATTTCAAGTGTGAAAATTTTACATTTACACTCCCCATCAATTTTTTTTTAAAAAAAAATTATTTATATAGTAGAGTAAATTATAAATACACTCCATAAGGTTTGTCTAAAATACAAATTGCCCCTTGTAATTTGAAAAATTACAAATATCCCCTTATTAGAATTTTTTATTTAACAGAATTAGCTAAAAAAATAAAATTCATAATTGCTCTCCTATACAATAATAAAATTAACTAAATTATTAATTGAAACATATTTTTAATATCATTAAAAATTATTAATTGACTTGATGATTTATTAATAAAAGAAACAATTTGTTATAAAATTAAAAACTTCAAAATAAAATATAATTTGTAAAATCACAAGATTAATTCATATTTTAATCAACTCAATGGGTGTATTTATAATTTACCCATCTACTTATTTAACTTGACTAAAAGCAAATGATTTTGATTTCAAATTTACTTTCCTCTGTCTAATCCAATCAGTACCCTCTTTATCAAAAAAAACAAAAACAAAAGAAATCTAATCAGAACCCCAGAAAAAGTCAACTAAATTCTGGTAATTTTATTTGGTTCGTACACTGAAGATGGTTCTTGGATGATATAAATACCGAGATGCAGCGAATCGATTTCATCATACTATGAAACCAAGCACAAATCACAAAGAAGAATACACAGGCTAAAACAGGAGGGTGAAGAATCTGAAGACAAACCCAAAAAAAAAAACCCGAGAAAGAGAAATACAGATCAAATTTAGCCTTTATAGGAAAAGAAGATAAACTTTGTGAGTAGCTATGGCCGACGAATTTCAGATAGGCAGTGGAAACAACTGGTGGGAATCAAGAAACAGGTTCGACAGCGGATCATCATCACCGTCATCTTCGTCTGCACTCACTAGTGCGGGCAGTTTTGGATGGCCGACAGAGATAGTGGACCTCAAACCAAGCTCTTCCATCGATTCTGTGTCTGTGTCTGCTGGTGGTGGTGGTGGTGGTGGTTCCACTATGGTTTTCCAAGATACCAACAAGCTCCAACCTCCTGATGATTCCTCCGGTAGCGGTGTTTTGGCCGATCCAACCTTGCAAATGATGGGTTTAGGCCTCTCTTCTCAACCCATGGATTGGAACCAAACTTTGCTGTAAGTTAAAACCCTAAAAACAAAAACTAAAACAAAAAACTTTTTTTTTTATTTTTTTATTTTTGATAATTTTTTGTTTTGGGCAGTCGGGGTGGAAAAGCCGAAAGCAGTTTTAGGTCAATGCTTGAAGAGGACTTGAGCTCGAGCACAACTAATTTTCATCAGGAAACTGGGATGGGACCGTCCCAAGAGCAGTGGAGGCAGAAAATATATTCTGGCAGTTCTGACGACTCGACCGCCAACGAATATAAGCAAATTAACCGGGGGTTTTCGTTGGATCAACCAGGGTTTAGCTCCGGTGAAGGTGTTTCTTCTAGTTTTCAGATGGATCAAGCTGGTTATGGAAGCCCCTCAACAATATTACAAGGACTATTAGGATCTGATAGTCAGCAGCAACAACAACAACAACAACAATCAAGTTTTGAGAATCGAGAGGTGAATTATTTGTATCCGCCAAGTTATGGCATGAATTCTGGTGAATTATTGCCGCCTTGGTCTAAATTTCCTCAGTTCATGAGAAATTCACCTCCGAAACAACCACCTCATGGTCAGTTACAGTTGTCCAACGCCACTCCATTTTGGAACACCACTGCGGCTGCCATGAGTGACGCTCGATCAAGCTTTTTCCCATCCTTGCAGACTCAGCAGTTTTCTCCTCAAACATTTGAAGAGAAACCTAAGGTAAATCATAATGGTGTTACCTATTACCGATACTGATATATATCTTGATATTGTTATTTAAAATCAACTTTTCAGATTGTGATGTCGTTATAAATTATGTATTCATTTTACAACAGAATACGTCAGAGGCTCGGGATTTGAGCACGGTGGCAAAGAAAAATAGCAGTGAGGCATCAAACAAAAGGACCCGGAGCGAAACACCGTCACCTTTGCCACCTTTTAAGGTACACACAAGCTTGGAAAAGCTTTATTTTTTAGGATAGAGAATTTTGATATTTTCTTGTTTCATAGCTATGGATGAGAAGTGAGAAATTCTAGCTTTGTTGTAATGCTTAGGTGAGGAAAGAGAAGATGGGGGACAGAATAACTGCTCTCCAACAATTGGTTTCACCTTTTGGAAAGGTAAATTTCTGAGTAAATCTTCACTTTCACAAAAGATAAGAAAGTGGGAGTGAGAGATCATTTTCTTTATGAGTTCTTGAAATTGAGCTCAACTTTGATAGATTGCAATCATGTTAATCTGTTTCAGACTGACACAGCTTCAGTGCTCTCTGAAGCAATTGAATACATCAAATTCCTCCATGGACAAGTTCATGTAAGTATATATATATATATATATAATTATAACACCTTATCATTGTTATAATAAAATTATGAATAAATTCATTCAATTCCAAACAAAAAAAAGAAAATGTCTCAATTAGCCATTTTTTATTTGTACTTTCTTTTTTTGCTTATACAATATCAGATTTTAAGCGAACCATACATGAAAAGTGGAGCTTCCAATCAACACCAGCAGGTACAAAATTCTATTTATTTCCTTCTCTTAGTTATCAAGTAAACACTAATTAATATACTAACCGTTATTGAATTATTTAAAGCTTAAATTATTAGAGATGTAGGTTTATTATTTATATATTTGATACGCCGCTCATGTATCATCAGACTTTCTTTCATATAAGTGAGTGGGTTTGTTATTATTTATATTTTTCACATGCTCCTCATATGTAGCCAAATTTTTTCGAGTGATGATAGAGACATTAATTAGTATATCAACTAACACACTAATTAAGATATAAGGTATATATTTTCTCTGTCTTAAAATATTAGTCCCTTATTTCATTTTTTATTGTTTTAAAATATTAGTTACTTTTTAAAAATTAAGGAATAAAATAATATGAATTTACTATTTTGTCTTTCTTTTAAATTCATTAATAACATAATAAGTACAATTATAACAATTGATATTCTCAAAAAAATATACTATCAAAGAGTAATTTTGAAAAATTAATATTTTTAAAACATAATAATTATACTATCAAAAAAGTTAAATTCTCCAAAAATGACTATTATTTTGGGAGAGAGAGAGTATGTGAATTCCACTATTTAACATGGTTATATCTAAATTGTATCTAGTTGGTACACTAATTAGTATTTTCTTCATTATTGAATTTTTTTTCATGAGTGAGTCAAATATAAGATTAATTATCAACTCTGATACTATATTAAATTATTAATTACTAAATCATTTAAAATTTTAAACTATTCGAGAGAGTGGTAATTTTATTATGAGCAAATGACACTAGTAGTTTTTACATTTTACCCCTTGTGTCATTTTAAGCTATACATTTTGACTCAATTTTACTCATTAATTTTAGATTTTATGTCAATATGATCCAATTGGCAATGCTATTATGATTTTTTACAAAAAAAATTATCACTGAGTTGACTAAAGTAAATTAATTGAATTGATCAAATTGATCAAATTTATAATTTTGTCTCTAAAAGAATGACACATACCACTCAGGTGTGCATTTTCAATAAAATAATGGTAACATTTGTAATCAATTAGACTAAATTGAGATCAAATCTAAAATTTATTATCAAAATCGAACCAATTGAAATTACACTAACCAAAATAATTGATTATAGATGTAATATGATCATGTAGCAGTGAAATCTTCTATTATTTTTATTTTTTGAGAAATGATAAATGATTTTTCTCATAACGCAGAATTTAGATCATAAATCAAAGGAACAAGAAGGATCAAAGCAAGATCTTAGAAGTCGAGGGCTATGTTTGGTGCCAGTGTCGAGCACCTACCCGGTCACCCACGAGACCACGGTTGATTTTTGGAACCCTACATTTGGAGGAACCTTCAGATAGAGGGGTCGGAATAATGATGTAAGCCATCATCAACGTCAACATTTGGGCATGGGACCGATTCGCTACAACTAGTATCTTATCAAACCCTAGCCAAGTTGGGGCCGATAAGACGGGCAAAAATCTTAGTGACACAGAAATTGTGCCACAAAAAAGGCACACATGTGCCTTATTGGGCGCGATAGGCCCTATTATGAGCTATGATTGGGCCTAAAATGGATTCATCAAGATAATTCAAATTGTCATTTTGTAAGATCTATTAAACAAGGCATCTTTACAAAAAATAAGATGATAAGATATCGGTAGTCATATGATCATATGACATTTGTCTTAAAAAATTAGAAGACAAATGTAATTTGATCATGTAGTTGTTGATACCAAATCAATCTAATTTTTTTGATGAATAATATGTTTGATGTAATTTACAAATTAAACGGTTCAAATTATCTTGATGAATCCAAAATAGATCATACTCAAGTTCAACAAAACACTTAAAAGGATTGAGTCTCGTTCCTTTGAAGTGCTCTGTGCCCTTTTATGTGGCACAATTTCTGTATCCCTAATAAAACTGTTAAATAACAAAAAAAAAAAAAATTGAAGATACCGGAGGAAATTGTACTCGTCCGGGACAGAAAAGGAAAAAATTCTGATAGAGAAAGACAGGGAAATTGTTGGGGCCAGCCAGCTACAGGCAAAATGATGCTGCTTTGGCCGATACTAGGGACCATTGGACTCGACTAAAGATTTGTTAGTTGTAATAATTGAAGAATTATATGATTGAATTGTTGATTTATAGGAATGAGAACAGGTAATAGAATTGGAGAGAAAGTTGTACACTAGTTTAGATGAGAATTTATTTTTGTTGTTTGTAGCTGAATTTGAAATTGTTTTTGTATCTGAATGAACATAGAGCTGGCACTGCCTTTAGTTTAAAAGGAAGAAAAGATTGGAAAAAAGAGAAAGATTGAGAAAAGAAAAGAAATGGAATAAATGAATTCTACAATAGGAGTGAGTGAGTGTGGGGAAGATCAATTGATTGGAAATCTCACTTTCGATCTGTTTATATGTTTGGAATACGTTAGTGGAAGTCAGAGGGTGGCCCATTGCCCCTGCTTTTAGGGTTTTTTGTTTTTTGTTTATTTCATTTATTTTTTATAACTCTTTTAGTTTTATTGTATTCTTGTATTAAAAAATGGACGGATATGGGTCCAGGAGCTAGCAGCCATGCTTTTGTGCTTTTCATCGATTGGTCACTTCCAAGGGGCTTTCCTTGGAAGATGAAGACGAGCCTAAACCCATCTCTCTCTCTTTTCATTAGAAGTGGACACACACTACATTACACTTTTTTTTCTTTTTTCTTTTTTATCGGCAAAGAAGATCTTTGTTAATGAAAGTATGTAAAAAGATACAAAATATTAATAAAGAGGAGCTTGAAGCTAACTGAAACTCCAAGCGCCAGTTGATGAGAAACCAACACACTACATCACATTTGTAATTAGATTTAATGATTATGATAATTATTTGAAGCAGTTAGATAAAATTAAAACAATTTATAACACTTACATGTTTTGGGGGTATTTAAAAAAAAATAGAAATAAAAATAAAAATTGTAACATCCATATGAAGAGAGGTATTTGCTTTATATGTTAGTATAAATATATATAATATATACAAATTGAATTCTTATACAAAATTTTATATACTTTGTAGTCCTTTTTTTATCTCAAATTAAAACACCATCATTCTGGCTTAGAGCATCCCATCAAACTAGTAAAAGTCGTTTTTTAGCTAATTTGATGATAGTGTTCTTCTGCATCAATCCCGCTATAGTAGGTCGTTAATTTACGAGTGCTACAGTAACTCGTTACAACAAGCGAGGCATTGTTCATAGCAATAATAGTGTTATCGGTTGTCCGCCCGGAAGTCCGACCAGACGTCCGGCCGGTCAACCGGTCAATGGCCAATTTTTTTTTTTTGCTTTTTTTAAGAATTGTTTGACTGGTAACTTATCAATTTAATAAAAAAAGAAAGACTAACAAACACAATAAAAAAATAATATTTAATAAAAATAAGTTAAAATAAAGAGTTTGATGCAGTAGGTGCTAAAAAATGATTAGTTAAAAGGTCTGGCTTTGGTCTAGTCCGCCATCGGACTGGACCGTACTGTTGGGCCCGTGGGGACCCACCACGGGTTTTGTTTGGAAAATCTAAACCGTCAATGTGTAGAACTCGTCGAGTACTATATGCTTATGAAAAATCACGTTGATCGGATATCGATAACTATGTGATCAAATCAGTTTTGTATAAAAAAATGGACGGTGAATAAATTAACAGTTGATAAAAAACTGTTTTGATCACATAGCTATCGATATCCGATTAACGTGATTTTTCACAGGTATATAGTACTCGAAAAGTTCTACATATTCAACGGCTCATATTTTCAAAACACGATCCGTGGTGGGCCCCCACGAGCCCAACAGCACGGTCCAGTCCAATGGTGGACTGGAGCAAATATTTTAATTTTTTTTTTTTTATATATTTGGTTACAATTTGAGTGTAGAGTTGTGAAAGTAGTATGGAATTTCGAGTTATGTGTTTGGTTATGAGTTTTAAAAAGGGTCTAGCTTTGGTCCAGTCCGCCATCGAACTGGACCGTACTGTTGGGCCCGTGGGGACCCACCACGGGTTTTGTTTGGAAAATCTAAACCGTCAATGTGTAGAACTCGTCGAGTACTATATGCTTATGAAAAATCACGTTGATCGGATATCGATAACTATGTGATCAAATCAGTTTTGTATAAAAAAATGGACGGTGAATAAATTAACAGATGATAAAAAACTGTTTTGATCACATAGCTATCGATATCCGATTAACGTGATTTTTCACAGGCATATAGTACTCGAAAAGTTCTACATATTCAACGGCTCATATTTTAAAAACAAGATCCATGGTGGGCCCCCACGAGCCCAATAGCACGGTCCAGTCCGATGATGGACTGGAGCAAAGCCAGGCCCTTAGTTAAAATAATAAAATAACTTTAATTTGATTAAAAATTTAAAAAGTTTGGTGTGGATGTTCTTATAATTTTAAAAATGTTACATCAAATCATTTTGATTGAATTTTTTTTAATAACAATTCTATTTATAAATTATTTTTCTATATATAAATATCAATATGTTTGAACAGTAGGATTATTCATTGGATTGATAAACAATGGATTTTTTAAAGTAATGAATATGGTCCCCTTTGCAACCTTTAGAATTCTGATGGACATAGATAGGGTTGTGATATCACAATCTTAAAATACCAAATTCCTTGCTGAAAGTGGACAGAGACTGGGAATATTTTTCTCTCTTTCTTTCTTTTTCTAGTTATTAAGGTTTCATTTGGTAACAACATTTTTTAGTTGAAAAGTTAAAAAGTCACTAAAAAAATTAAAAGGCTAACAATCTATACCAAAAAATTAAAAATTCTTTTTTCTCTCTATTTTTTTCATATATTTTTGTAAAAAATTAAAAAGTTATCCCAAACATATCTGTTTTTTTTTATATTATATTTTAGCCAAAAAACTAAAAAAATATTAAAAAAAACTTATTTCCAAACGAGGCCGAAATTCAACAATTATGTTTAGGTTGTATTTTGGCCATTCATTTTCCATGAATTAAAAATAAGTTGAAAAATAAGTGCTTTGGAAAAAATAATTCAAAAAGTATTCTGAAAATGAAATGTATGATATAAATTCAAGAAAATATTACATAAATATAGTTGGTTTTTTATTTGCTTTCTTATGAAAGTGACAAAATTTATTAACGCTAGTTTAAAAATATTTCTTCTTTGCTCTCGTGGATCTAACAGTATTTCAATATCTAGTAGCGACAACAATTAACAATTTATTTCGTTTTTCATATTTTCCGTTTTCGTTTTTATGTATCATGTTTTCAAAAACAAAACCAAGGAAAAAATTAGCGACAACAATTAACAATTTATTTCGTTTTTCATATTTTCCGTTTTCGTTTTTATGTATCATGTTTTCAAAAACAAAACCAAGGAAAAAATTGAAAACAACTACTGTATTCATTATAGAGTGCGTCGTTTTAAAAAATTCAAATAAATAGCAAATTTAAGGTACTGTTTGGTAGAACTTTATATACGTAATTCTATCCCTTGGTTTGAGTGTGGTGTTTGGGAGAGCTTTCAAAAATTAATTCCACACACTCATTGTTGAAAACACATCTATCCGGTCATCCTCCCGAACGTTCCAGACGTCCGGCTGGTCGTCCGGCCAGTTGACCGAAACAGTGTTCTTATTTTTTTGGCACTTGTTACTTTTATATTTTAAATAAAAAATATTTTTAATTTTTTTTTTTTTTAATTTTTAGTAACTTTTGAATAGGATTTTGAATTGTGTGTTTAGGTATGAGTTGTAAGTTTTTTAGGCCCTATTTGGTAGGGCTTATTTTCAGTTTATTTCAGCTTTTAGTTTAATTTAAGTTATTTTGATATGTTTGGTTCAGCTTAACAATACAGCTTATAGCTTTTTGTAAGTCAAAAATCAACTTATTCTTTAAGTAGGGGAGAGAAGCTTAATTTATAAGTCAAAAATCAGCTTATATTCACAGTTATAAGCTATAAGCTGTTAAGTTATAAGTTATAATCACTTTCCTACAGCTCTACCAAACGGGGTCTTAATCAAATATCATATCACATCAAAAATTTCAAACTCAATTCAAAACTCATAACCAAACAAATTTTTCACACTCAAATCATAATTTCAATACTCACAAACTCAAAATACAACTCTATTATCAAATTATAATTCTAAAACTCTATCAAACGCTACCTAAAATATTTCCTAAAAAATTAGATATTTTTAGCAGATTTTCTCAAAAATTGTTTTCCAAACATTATGTGGTGTTTTGAGAAATTGGTAAAAAGCTAATTTTTTTACTTTTTGACTTTTTTGGTAGTTTTTTTGGCAAAAAAATTGATTTCTTTGGCTTAAAAAG